GAACCACTGGGGAAGGGGGGGGTGGGGAGTAAGGACCACTGAGGAAGGGGAGGTAAGGACCACTGAGGGAGGGTGGGGGAGGTCCACTAAGGGGTTTGGGAGAGGGAGGACCACTAAGAGGGGAAAGGACCACCAAAGGGGGGTAAGTAGGGAGGACCACTAAGGAGAGGGGAGGAGGGTAAGGACCACTAAGGGGGTGGGGGGAGGAGGGGAATGTCTACTAAGGGGTTTGGGAGAGGTAGGTCCACTAAATGGAGGGATGGAGGACCACTAAGGGGGAGTGAGAAGACCACCAAGGGGGGGACTACAGGGGGCCAAGGGAGAGCACTAAGGGACAGGAGGGAAGGGGAAATCAATAATTGACAGGAGGGTGAGCACTATGCAAAATAAAATAAAGAGCTGGCCTATTCTAATTTTACAAACTTTTACATAATACACATACACACATACACAATGCATCTCTACAAAACACACATACAGAAAATAATGCATTTTACACAGATACCTGAAACACACAATGCATCCCTTACGTTCACACAAACACTCATTCTCTTACACACAGAAACAAAATGCATCTCTTACACAATCAATGCACCCCTATCAGACACACACTGTATTCAATTAAATACACAGAAACACACCTTGCACCCCTTACACACACACACTCACACACACCCAGAAACAAACAATGCATTCCTTACACGCAAACACATACTGCATCCCCTATAAACACACTACATGCCTTACAGAAATTGGTATCCCTATACACTACATTCTATAAGAACACACACACGTTGCATCCTCTACAATAACACATAAAATATCACATACACTCCACTTCCTGTGAGAGAACTCACGGGTGGGCCATGTAGGTGGATTTATGGGTGGGTATTGTAGGCATACTCACGGTCAAGCCCTGGGGGCCCAAACCTTGAGCTGTGTAAGGGGCCCTAAAAAATGGAGCTGCTTCCTGTTCGTTAATTGTTGTGAGCACTGTTAAAAACAGTCTCAAGAGAGCCTCTTCTACACCAGACCTGTGGAGCCAGACTGAGCCCATCATCAGCCTCTTGTCCTCATCTGGTGGTAAGTAGGCAATCCAATATATTATTAGTGGCACTAATCTCAAATTTACCTCACATTAAATGGATACTATAGTCACCAGAAGCACTACAGCATAATGTAGTGGTTCTGGTGTCTATAGCCTGTGCCTGTAGGCTTTTTAATGTAAACACTGTCTTTTCAGATAAAAGACACTTTGTGAAGAATGGCAGAGCATATGGGCAGGGCATTGTGATGTCACATGGTGGGCAGGACATATGGGGGGGGGGCAATTTTTTTTTTGCCTAGGGCGGCAAAATTCCTTGCACCGGCCCTGTGTGTGTGTGTGTATGTGCCTGCTAGTGAGTGAGCTTGTGTGTGTGTGTGTGTGTGCCTGCTAGTGAGTGAGCATGTGTGTGTGTGCCTGCTAGTGAGTTAACCAGTGTGAGTGTGTGTGTGTAGGCCTGCTAGTGAGTGAGTATGTGTGTGTGTGTGCCTGCTAGTAAATGAGTTTGTGTGTGTGGCTGCTAGTGAGTAAGCTTGTGTGTGTGTACCTGCTAGCGAGTGAGTTTGTGAGTGTGTGTGTTTATGTGCCTGCTGGTGAGTGAGCTTGTGTGTTTGCCTGCTCGTGAGTGAGCTTGTGTGGGTGTACCTGCTAGTGAGTGAGCTTGTGTGTGTGTGTCTGCCCTAACTCTGCAAACTTACTCTACAACTCAACTCTTTCCTCTCAACTAGATATCATGGCAACTCCTACATTTCAACGCAGCAAACTTTCCCAATTACAACCCTGGCACACCAAGCTGACCCGATATCTCAAAAAATGTTCCAGAACTGCTGAACGCTGCTGGAGAAATCCTCACTCTGCACATGACTTCCTCCACTATAAATTTATGCTGCTCTCCTACACTCTGGCTCTCTCCTCTGCAAAAGTAAATTACTTCAATACTCTCATAACCACATTTACCTCCTGTAAATCCAAACGACTTTTTCACACTTTTAATGCTCCCCCTCCTCTTACCACCCTGTCCACCTCAAACTTTGCAACTCGCTTCACTGAGAAGATTTTTTAAGACCTACACCTGTCCTCTGTCCGTACTCCCACATCTGATGCTCACCTCCAAGACTTCTCCAGGGCTGCACCTTTTCTGTGGAACTCCCTTCCCTTCTCCGTTAGACTTCTTACCCAGTCTCCACTCCTTCAAAAAATGTTTGAAAACACACTTCTTCAGGAAAGCATATCATTTAATCAGTTAGTGGGTTTTCATCACCCTCCCCTCCTCCCCCCATGACTCCTCTCCTGCAACTGTCAAAAATAACCTACTAAGTTCCCAGTGAATACTCTTCTAGCAACCTATTTCATTACCCCTACTTATACCCTTTGTGTCACTATACCCCACTCCCTCTAGCATGTAAGCTCATTGAGCAGGGCCCTCAACCCCCTCTGTTCATGTGTGTCCATTTGTCTGGTTACAATTACGTGCCACCTATTGTACAGCACCATGGAATTTGCTGGCGCTATATTAATAATAAAATAATAATAATAATAATAATAATATGAGTTCTATAGGTAGACTTAGAAAACTGTGGACAGAATAAGAATGCTTTGAGCAGTATGTAATGTGATGGGCAAGCTATAATTGCTACAGGAAGTTTATGAATGATATTTTGGAATTTTGTATGCAGTTCTCAAATATGCTTTCTAAATGACTCAATTTAAGAGGACTCAATAGAGATGTTCTTTTATTTATATTGCAACATATTTTTCGAGAAGCCTGCTTTCTGCCCGACATGTTTTCTTGATGTACACATCATGTATATAAATAATGTATACTGGGATGAATATGCAAGAAAGACATGAAAAAATAGATATTACAGTTCCAATTTTATTATCCAAGACAGCTTATTCTTCTTCTAGATATTGTCTAACTATACCATCTGAGCTCAGCCAGCCTCTTCCTTGGCCTAAGAGGCAAACCCGTGAATGACAAGTGTCTATTTTATCTTTCCATGTCTCTTTAATGCTACTCTTTAGCTGTCACTCTTCCTGACTTATTTCCCACCTGGTATATCTTCCAATATCATCTATCCACATACATCTGACAGATGGATCTGCAACACTTCAGAAGAAGAAAATCTGAATTTTAAACCATTATATTGTTACATTTATCTTTGTGATACCTCCCCATAATACTGTGTATAAATTAATGTTGCAGAACAGTATAATGCATTTTTGCAAATTTAGTCCTTAAGAATGGATCCTCATGAAGTTTTAAAATTTGTGTAAATAACATGCAACCAAACTATTAATAGGAGTGAGAAGTTAAAAAAGCAGCGCATTTGTGGGTTTGATTAATTTGAGAATTCTACAATACTCCAAAGTTGAAATCTAAAATGCTACCCTAAAATTTTTCTTAGCCCTACAAAAACATTATTATTGTAAATAAAATGATTACTTGAAGTAATTTCATGTTTCATCCATCTACCTAAAATGCTACCATACATTTTTCCTAGCCCTACAAAAACATTATTATTGTATATAAAAGGATTACTTAAAGTAATTAATGTTTCATCAATCTACCTGCTAGACTTTATTTACAAGGGTTACACATATAGTCTACGTCAGATCAATTTCATACAATGCTTTTTCAGGACAATACTTTAGATCTCATTCTGGAAATGTAGGTTTATGTCACATATAAAGAAATATTCGAAGCGCCCTAATCACTAAAGCAGCTGTTTTGGTTATGGTGCCAATAGTTCCCTGGCACATGCCAACATTAAGAAAGGCTGGACGCAAGTCTTTTTTCAGCTATGTAGCTATGTAACTATGCTTCCCCCTACTCATGAACAATGTGCTGGTGATGCTCTCCTAAATCTTGATGAAAGTATAGCCAGAAACTGGCATATTGCATGGCCATTTATTCAATGTAATCCCAACCCTCTAGTTAACTTATAGAGGGGTGGACAGCAATGTTCTGTATCCAAAAAAACCCTCCTGACTATCACTTGGTGGGCACCACCCATTCCCCCCAAGTAGCCTGGCAGAGCACAATATTACTGGCCTTGCTTTGTTTTAATAGATGGCTGCTTTGAGAAGTGGTGATCTGGTGTAAAATTAAGAATAAAAACACTAATATCTTGCTGCCCCTGCACCAACTGCAGAGATTCAGTGCTAGAGAGCCCCAATGAAAGTAGCAATGAAACCAGTGATTTGGATATTTGTTGCCAACTTTCTTCTCAGGAGAAGTTTTTGTATGTGATAATCTAAACTGTATGTGGGTAAAATGGCGTGCATGGTTCAGCCTGTCACTCAACAGGAAGCATGGACTATGCCGTTGAAGTATACAGTTTTTATTATACATCTCCATTAAAGAGAAAAGATGGGTGATGTGCCCTGTATTGGTGAAATGCAGCATTATACAACCAACTGAACAATGAGTGCAGCTATGTGCATTCTAACCAATGTGCCTGCTGGAGTCTTGGTGTTTAGAGTTGAGTCTCTACTGCAGTGGTCACACACAACTGGCTCAATACAGAGGAAGCATCGCAGAAATGGGTCTCTACAAGAAATTTGCAAGTATTGCTAGGCGGGCCTACTTGGAAATCAGGATCATAGAAGATTGAGCTGGCCTGGGTGATTGTTGAAAGATATGTGATGTGGGGAAAGAGGAGAAATATCCCATGTAGATATGTGTACAGGCCGAGTCGTTATATCAGAGGTTAACTGGAAAAGCAGTGCTGTGGGAGATGAAGGTAAGCAGGCAGTTTGAAATATGATGGTTACGCTGGAGGTAAGATGGGTGGCAGGGCGGGAGATGAAAAGAGAGTGCTGGTGTTTATATTGGGCCAAATTATAGGGCATAATAGCTGAGCTGAAATAATAAGTGTTTTGAATTTGTTTCCCCACAATACCCCACATTTTTGAATACAGTGAATAATACAGCATTATTTAAAAAAAAAAATTAGTGTACATACAAACCTTACATGTAACTATGTAACATTCTATTTGTTTCGATAGTGATTGCAACACATATACAGCACTTTCCCCCATAATGCATCTCTATGCATAAACACTGTCCATTGAATAGTTTACATTAGGACTTTCTTTTACCATGCATAAGGTTTCTTACTGATTTGGATTGAGTGAGACCACATACGAGGATGAAACATTTTCACTTATACAGCATTAAAAGGTTTATAATTTTCAAACCCATGAATGCCCATCATTCCTTGTTTCTTTACTCTATATTATTTATATATTTACAGCCACTCATATGAATTTGTATATACACCTAAATCATATATTATTGTAAATGTCAGCCCAGTTATTGGCTCACATGAAATATCTCAAACGTTCACTGTCTAAAGACGCAGCCTTTCCTGTAAGACAATACACATGTGCCTCTTTGCTACCGTAAGACGTTTGGGCACTTTTCTACCTCTATTTCGGGTCAAAATTAAAATATTAAATATTTCTAGTGAACTGGTCTCCTTCTCTGGATTCACAGGGATATACAATACTGAGATCAGTGATTTTACATTCTACATAATAAAAAAATTTAGGTTGAGCTGTTCCACCAAGGCGTAATGCCTACATGATAGGTTATTGAGAGGATAGAAAATAACCTTTTTTTAGGTTGAATAACATAAATCAGGCACTGAATGTCCCCAATGACAGAGGTTATATTTTCTGTGAGTGTGCACAGACATAGCTTTAGCACAGAGATTCCTCTAATGGTGTTCCTGTGGTATGTGGTGTCAGATTATCACACTTTACTTTCTGAGGCAGATCAGGATCAGGGCAGGTCAACTGACGGAATCTCTGTGAAAAAAACAAGAACACCACATAAAGAGGAAGAATCACATATTATAGAAGAAAACATTCATATTCTCTTCTATTCTACATACATTGTGTAATTTAGTGATTTGGGTTAGATGATCACTCTGCTCATTTCTCCTATTTTTTTTATATCATGTTAAATTATCTTGTTTAGGTAGTATCTTACATTTATTTTCTAAATTGCTTTTGTGTTAATGTTTCATGTACTGTCTCAGCATAAACTTGTAAATTTGTTGCAGTTGTTGATGTGTTTAGTTTCAATAAACATCATATTCCCATTCCCTGTATGCAGTGAGGAACTTGTAACAAAGTGGGTGATCTTGCCTGTGCACACCAACGCCATACATTTCACATTTCTTTTCCATTCACCTTTTTGTGCTTTTTATTCACCCTTAGACCTTATTTTTACAATACATTTAGTGCATTTTAAGACAAGAAACCTCTCTGTTGAGCAGGACAAGAGTGAAATTCAACTCTATATAACATCCAGCTAACAGTTGTAACGTACATTTTACTTTTATTACATGACAGGAGGCTTTATATTTTGCCTAATCTTTCTTTACTGAACTCCCGTAGCAGCAAGAATTTACCCAGGAACAAAGTTCACTAATCAAAAGGCAGAAACAGAGATATAAGAAAAGCAACCTTAAACAGCTCCTCTTACTTTGCTGCTCCAACCTACCACACACACAGGTCAGAGTATTGCTTTTTTACTTAACTGTTTGAATTTAAACTTAATTGTAGATATTGGTTTACACTTTTTATGATCAGGGCCTGCCTCCTTCTCTCTCTATCATTGACGAATGGCAAGTGATGGTCTCTGCTTCTTATGAGAAATGAGTCATACCTAGGTGAGCCCCATGTGATTAACAAAGATGAGTCCATAGTACATGCCCCAGCAGCTGACGTGGAAATATTTCACCCACAGTACATTAGACATCCTAAGTCATCCGAGTGGACCCTGTCTGATCATCTGACGATATGTAAGCATTTTTGACTATGCAAGCCATTAGACAAGGAAGTCAGGAATTGCTTACAAGTGGTATGTTTAAGACCATCTCTCCCCTGAGTTTGACAAGACTGTATTAATCTTTATGGTCAGGAATGGTTAAGGGCTTGGGAAAAGGCCATAAAATAGTTGAAGATCAACTCCTGGATACCACTTTAGCCCAAATACTCTACTTGGCTAATGGCTCAATTTCTGAGGGTACTACTTTGGACCAGCATTCTATGTGGGAATGGGCATAATGAGCTGTTTGATTATTGGACAACTATTGGGGGTTCCTTCGATTTACTTATCTTCACTTTGGACTTAGCTAGGCTTTTTGCTGTCTGTTTTCTCAAGTTTTTGAGGTTCATCCAGAACTCAGAGAAATCTGCCCTTTGTCCGACCAACATCTTTAAGATTGATGAGCT